AGTCAAACTTTGGGGACTCACCCGTGCACCAGAGGGCCAAGGCAGCAGGAGGCAAGAAGCCTGGGCGAGCTGGGCTCCTCCATGCCTGGCAGAAGATGAGGTGCAGAGGCGAGAGGTGGGCAAGCAGAAGAGGCACTCAGCCAGCCGCACAAGTTGCGTGCAAAGAAACTCCTGGTGCCCCAAGCTTCAGGGCTGCCTCGTTAAAGGAGTGTGGAGGCCAGACTTGCAAATGAGAAAAAGCAAGCTCAGGGTTCGTGGGTCGCATTTTGGGCTGTGGAAGAGGAACCGGCTCCATTCCTGGAGTTCTCTCAAGTTCCTGCGCTTTTGGTTTTGTTTTTTGCCAATCCGCCTCCCAAGACTGCTCCAGGTGCTCCGGCCTGAGGGCTGCTGGGGCTTCCCGCAGTTCGGCCCCATTATATCCTATGGGTCATTGAAGTCAATGGCGAAAACATAGGGTATATTCTGGGGGCTGGAGGGGAGGGGGTTTGAGGGAGAGGCCCCAAAATCGCAGGGTAGTTGCTGGAGCCTCTCCCCAAGATACCCGCCATGTTTCAGTAACATTGAACCAGGGGGTCCAATTCTACAGTCCCCCAAACAGGTTGCCCCATCCCCTCCATTGTTCTCTATGGTGGGAAAAAAGTTACCTTTTTCCCACCATAGAGAACAATGGAGGGAATAGGCCGTCATCGCATATGGTGGAAGAGCCACACTCAAGGGGCCAAAGAGCCACATGTGGCTCTAGAGCCGCAGTTTGCCTACCACCGGTCTAAGTAATTGGTTGACAGCAGTCCATCTTGACAGCTGAAGATCTAGATTCAGCTTAGATCAGTTAGACCAATTGACTGATCCCTTGGATTGGTCAGCCAACTAGGGAACTGACAGCTGAGCTAGTATAAAGGCAGGAGTGAGGAACAAAAAAGGATATATACATAGAGAAGAGCTTTGGATGAAGAGGAACAGTCTGTGTCATGTCAGGAAGAGCTCGTGAACTTGGAAGGAGAGGTCTTCACTTCCTTCAGTACTTCTACTCCTGCATCAATGCTGCTGGGAAGACTACTGCTCAGGGTCAGTGTCTGGAGGCTGGTCAGTCAGGTTTCTTATTTTGTCTTTGTTTCATTGTACACACCTTTCCCCTACTTGTATGTTTTTATATGTGTTATCCTTTTGTAAATAAATTTCTAATTCTGTTTTTATACAACTGGAGTAAGTTATTGGCCCAGAACCCAGGTTTATTATTTATTCCAGTGCCACAGAACTATGGTACCGAAGGGGTTATTGAACACACCCAAATTCCTTTTTTCCCCTGTCACCTTGGCCAATAAACATTGGGGGGGGGACACCCCAATGTTGTGACACACATCTTTTTATTATGGTGTACTGACAGAGATATTCAACTGCTGACTTTTAAAATGCAAACTGAAAAGGCCCCAGTGGCCTGGGGGAAGGGGAGATGGTTGCTGCTGGGGGAACTGGGGCAGGGAAGCCTGCCATGTGGAAGCCTTGGTGCTGCTGTAGTGTATCATTAGCCACACCAGCAATGGGAAGCTATTCTAGAAGCCACTACATATATAAAAGGACAAATGTGGCCCAGAGCAGAGAGAGGGGGAGAGAGAGGAAGGCCAGAGAGCACTAAGGAGTCATGGAAATCAAAAGAAGTTGTACATTCATGCAACATCCACCCGGATGTCACCCATAAAAATCTGGCCATGGGTTTGGAGCCTGTGATGGGATGGTTAAAAAAGAGCAGGCTGAAACTGAATCTGACAAAGGTGGAGGTTCTGTGGCTGGGGGGGGAAGGGCTGCAGGGCTCGAGTTCCGCTTACCGGCTCTTGACAGGGCGCCATTAACACCGGCACAGTCTGTCAAGAGCCTGGGTGTGATCCTGGATGCCTCCCTTAATATGGAGGCCCAGGTCACACACACAGCCAGGCTGGCACTTTTTCATCTACACCAAGCCTGGCAGCTGACCCCTTTCCTGTCGTGCTCTGACCCAGCCACAGTAATCCATGCGATGGTCACCTCTAGGCTAGACTACTGTAACTCGCTCTACGCTGGCTTGCCCTTGAGACTGACCTGGAAGCTCCAACTGATCCAGAATGTGGCAGTGCACGTCCTAACAGGAACACCACAGACTGTGCATATTCGACCTGTGCTGCACCAGCTGCACTGGCCTCCAGTGGCGCACCAAGTCAAGTTCAAGGCTCTGGTTCTGACCTACAAGGCCTTGAGTGGTCTGGGACCGATGTATCTGCGGGACCGCCTCCTCTGTTATACCCCCGGGAGAGCATTATGCTCTTCACAGAACAACTTGCTGGTGGTCCCTGGCCCCAGAGAGAGATCTGGCTGTCCTCGACCAGCACCAGAGTTTTCCAGGCCTGGCCCCAACCTGGCGGAACTCTCTGCTAAAACACATCAGGGCCCTGCGGGATCTTATGCAAGGCAGAAGTGTTCTGCCAGGCATTTGGTTGAGAACAGTAACGGTTAAACATCATGGCTCGCACTGTACTTGGACTCCTACCCCTTATAGAGCTTACTCCCCCCACCCCTGAATGTGTGAAGCACCCACAGACCAGACACGGGAAGGATCTACAAAATTTTCACCACTTGTTTTTAAGTATTGTATGTTTGCTGGGCTTGGTTTTATGCTTATGTTTTTATGCTTTCAGAACTCTGTACATCACCTAGAGCCAAACAACTGTGGGGATAGGCAATTAATAAATGGAAATAAACAAATGAAATTGGCTTGACCATTGTGGGAAACCAGCCCATAGATACACAAATGGTTTTGCACAGCCATGACAATTTTTTTCTTCAAAACGTCAAATCTGTCAGTCCCCCCCTTACCTCCATAAGATCAATATGTGGAAAAACAAAAATATCTTTTATTAAACAGATGTACAATACAAGTAATCAACAAATAAAACTATATAACAGACATTTATATGTTTATTTAGCAAAATTTATTTTTTTCTTCAAGAATACCATAATAAACTAGTTCTTCAGTTCATTCTACTTTTCAAATAGCCAGGATTTAAAAAATTAGTCCCATGATTGTCACACACCAGAGTGACACATTCAATACTTTTAGAAACAATAATATTTATTGTACCAAGAGTTGTTTGATACTGTGGGAACTTTGATGTCCGAGAGATCAAAGGTCTATCTGTCAACTCTTCCCAACATGGCTTCCCACAGAAAGACAGGAACTTCTATCCAGAACCCACTCTATGGACCCAACACATATGCAAGCATACCTATACCCTGTCCCTATAACCCCACGAGTATTCCTGTCATACGACCCTCTCTCCAAGATGCAATCTTGCCTTCTTCAGACAAGCTACCGTCTGGTTCTCCATCTGGTATATCACTTCATCACTCAGCATTTGATGACTGCCAGCCAAAGTCCATTGAAAAGAAGAAGAGGAGGAGATTGGATTTATACCCTGCCCTTCACTACCCGAAGATGTCTCAGAGCGGTTTACAAACTCCTTTCCCTCCCCACAACAGACACCCTGTGAGGTAGGTGGGGCTGAGAGAACTCTGACAGAAACTGCTCTTTTTCAAGAACAGCTGTGCCAGAATTATGGCTTGCCCAAGGTCATCCAGCCAGGTGCAAGTGGAGGAGTGGGGAATCAAACCCGGTTCTCCCAGATTAGAGTCCACGAATTTAACCACTACACCAAACTGGCTCCTGAAGATGCTATGAAAGTTCTACCTGTGATGATAGATCAATGATGGCTAGCACAGCTAGAGAAGCCATCAGCTGACCTGGCACTGAGCAAATTACACTGAAGTTTTTGTTCGTCCCTTTCACAGACTATACAAGTCAAGAAGGGGAATAGAGGGATTATTGGTGGCGGCCTCTTGGGTCACAGTTTAACATTTAAAGATAGGAACACCCACGATGGAGGACATTGCTTTTTGTTAGCCATAACTGGCTTTCTACCACATGCTAGAAGGAGGAACAGGATTTAATAGGGAGTGGGGGTAGAGTGGGGCAGAACAAATATCTGCCGTCTTCTCTTTGGGTGGTGGCTGATAGAAAACATTTCATTTTAATCACAGTGCCAACAATTTAATGAAGACAAGAGGTGACAAAAGAATCTGCAGCACTCTTTGTCAACAACTCTCTTCATATAACCATCTTTGGGTTTATGGAAGGGATGAAACTCATCCACCAGTTAAAATCTTCATTCCATGTGTCAACAGCCAGACAGGTGGCTGTTAAAACATACAAACATAAAATTAGGAAACAACTCTTAAAAGGCAGGAATTTTACATTTGAATAAGAAATGCAATGCCACACACTGAGTTCAGAACAAAGACGCATGACATTCATTCGCAGGCCATATCCCAACTTGACCCATGTCTAGATGGGACTTTGTTCTCTGAGAAATGTGTCCAATGCCCATTATCTTTTACCTTCCCTGACTGCAAGGATTCAGTCATTCCGCAGCTGTTTCCTGGAATGTGTCAGAAAAGGAACAAAACAAGCTCAGTCCGTTAGGGTCACTCTGTAACACAGACATATATACTCATTAAAAGGTCAAGAAACTCCTGGTCTTTTAGCTAGCACTGTGACTGAGAACAAGAGGAATACAGCCACAATAATATACAGCTGTCAATGAGCAAGACTGCATAGAGACATCTTTGGCCATGTAGACTCTTGGCCTTCTGAAACCAGGTCAGCTGCATTGCAAGCATGACAAGGAAAATAACTATATTCAAAATGAGGAAAAGTCGGGTGTACGATGCCGACACTGAAGGAGCACTGCTTCGAGCAGTAGCCAACATCTGCGCCAGGCCAGATTGTCCTTTGATCAACATATTGTTTTTATGCTCCCTATAGGTAATATCTGCAAAATCGAGAAGATCTTTCATCTCCTCTTCTTCATCCACAGGCAATTCTTTTTGGGCCAAAGTCTGTGCCTTTTGACGAACTTTTCTTTCGTTGACTTCAATTTGTGCAAAAATGTCAGGGCCAGCATCAACAAACCCTTTAGCCACCTTCCTGTTCCTCTTTCCCCTGCCTTGCTGCTGCTGTTGCTGAGAGATTGCAAATATCCTATCAATGGCTTCCTCTGTCTGTCTCTTATCTGAAAACTGCAGCAAGCGCTCAGCAGTCTTTCTGAAGCTGTCCGTGTTCCGTACGCGGGAAAGGATCTGCTTCTCCAGCTGCTGGAAGACAGGCTTGAAATGCTGTAGGTTTTGTTCCACTAACCCAACATAATCCCTTATCTCCGATGCTGCCGCGCTGCTAATGGCAGAGGTTCGCTCAAACAGAATTTTTTGGCGGTCTGCAATAACTTGTGCAAAGACTGAGTGGCTTTTATCCTCACCAGTCCACAAATAAGCAGCATAGGCATGCTCACCTGTTGTTATGAAAACATCCAGTTGCTGAGAATTCCCATGGACATTAAAGCTTTGGACATCTAAGGAAGGTCCAATGAAGAGGTACACAGCTCTGGTGATGGGGCTTCGCAGATGAGTTGTAACATTCACATAGTTCGTTCCATTGTAAGGGTAGCCCCTGGGATACATTCTTGAGGCAACAACAGCTTTCTCACTGTTGCCAGTGTCATCCATCCAGTACATCTTGTATGTCCCGTCACGCTGCCTAATGAAGGCCCCGTGGACATCGTCAATAACAGTTTCTTCAAAAGGCACATCCACATTGTGAAAGAAGCTGGTTGCTACCTCCAAGGGACTGTCATCATGAAGATGAATCTGGTCCACTAATAAGAGGAGCTGAGGATGGAGAAGTAATAGGTTTCTTTGGAGGCTTTTCAGTCTTAGCTTGGGGTTGTAAGCACCCACTCCTTCACCCCTGATAAAGATAATCCCACCTCTTTCCATAGCAGCAACAACTCTTCCTTGGCAATCTGCAGCTAGATCATATTTATATTTCAACCATTTTGATGAACAGTCTTCTGTAACCTGCCCTTCCCATGGGTAAAAACAGCTCTTTGATGCAGCTGGAGCAAACATCAGCACATTGTTTAAAAATGTATACTTTGGTCCATACAGAGCTTCTGTTATGAAAGGCACACCATTGGGAGCAAAAGTAAAAGAGTTCTGATCAGGGTGCTCATGGCCGGCATTGAAGTTCCTCCAACCTTTGATCCATTCTTTGTACTTGTTCCGGTGAACAATATCAAATATTGCACGTCCTCCCAGCTTTCCTGATTTGAAGGAGAGAAAGGGTCTATTGACTTCAGCTGGCAGAGCACTTCCATATGTTACAACTCCCCAGTCCTCAAAATAATGCAGCTTTGGTATACCATAGTCCGGTGGAGGCATGGATCCCAGGCTGGCATCATACCTTTTTTTAAAAAGGGAGAAAAAAGAGAGTGATTTGATATCAGGACATTAAGGCTGGCATTAATCACCCATCTAGCCTTATTATGTTTTTTCAGAAACCAGTATTTAAGGACAGCACACTGACACAGATAGCAATACTAAAGGCATGAGTGGAAACAACTTGTACTATGGAAACTGTCATTCAACAGAAACTAGAATATATGTAACCACCCGGAATATGATGAGCAGAAATGGAACATAGACAGTTTTAGAGTGGGAACAGATTGAAAAATGGATGAAAGGACTGTGCAGAACAGAGTCTAACCCCCTAATGCCTAGCTTTCTAGTTTTCAGTAGATAATCCCAGGAGACAGAAAATAGAAAAGAAAGACTAGGAGAAGTTCAAAACATACCATGACCTATGAATAGAATTAGAGCATCTCTTAGAGAAGAAGGTTATTGTCATGCCAGTTGTCACTGGAGCCCTTGGAAGTCTCAAGTGCCTAGAAGTCTCAAGAAACACCTGGTTCTGGACATTCTGGGTGCTGAGCAAACAACACCAGCTCAGCTCCAGAAGACAGTGTTACTTGGATCAACAAGAATCCTGTGAAGATACAGCTGCAATTCCCAAGAACTTGGATGGATCTCGAATTGCAGAACACCATCTGTGGCAGAATGTGCCTGCTCTAGCCTGCAGGCCGTGTTTTGCCCTGCCCCTATAGGGGTTCCCAACTCCTGGAGGGGCTTTTCTTTCACTCTCAGGGTAGCCTGCCACCACCACCTGATTGTTGTAGGGATTTACCCACTGGGAGGATCAAGACCCCCCAGCTACTCTTCTCAGTTCTGAAACCTTGCCTCTGTGTCTCCTGCTGCCCAACACCTGGCTGCCATGGGGACAGTTTAATGCCTTGGGTGCCCTTGGAGTTACAGCTGCTTGCCAACTCCCTGGAGCCCCTTTTAAAATAGTGTGTCTGAAAGCTGGAGGTCTATGTGGTACAGAGAACCACTCCCAGCATCAACAGTTTAAATCATTTATTAAAAAGAAAATGTTTATAAGCATACGTTTAGCACAGCACCAGATATGAGCATGGGGGGAAAAAGAAATTGGGGGAAAAAATGCAAATCCTCTGTCCCTCTCGCTGTACATGTCCTATCTGATGGTAAAACAAGACTGGCTCTTTTAGCTTAGCTGTTCTAGTTATTTATAGACTTGCCATTACCTTGAAGCTTGCTCCCAGTCTCCCAGGCTAGCACGTGGTCAATATGGCTGCCTCAGGAGTTAAGGGTCCTTTGTCCTCTCATTGTCTGAGCATCCCAAAGAAAGAGAGCTATTTCCTGTTGCACTGAGATTTTATCATCACTGTCTTCCCTCCCACTTGACCCGGCCAGGTCAGAGAAGTGTTTCTTCCAGCCCCATCCTGGAGATTTATCCCTGGAGTTGTTATAGCCCCCAGTCCTCCAAACTCTGTTCCCTGCCTATAGAAGGAGGGGAAAGAAGGGAAAGGCTTAGATATCCCATTGTCTTTCCTGCTAGAGCCATTAGCATTTGTATGAAGGTAGGCTGAGGTACAATCGAACTGACTTCAGATTTCTTGTTAAGGTGTATAGAATAAAAATGCTACAGTATTACATATAAAATGACAGATGACCATAGCCTGCTTAGTTTGCATGTTTCATACCAGAGAAATTCAGTGTGAAGAGTACACCAACGTTGACCTTTGGATGGTGTTCCTGGGCCTTCCAGCACACGATTCCTCCTGATCTGATCTGCTAACCAGTTTCCACTTCCATTGCGCATAACAAATTTGTCTAGGAATACCAGTTGGCTTTCTGGTCCATAAAACCAGTTGTAGTTTGAGTCTGCAATAGCAACAGTCCTTTGGAATCCTATGAGGAAAAGTAAAACACAAACACACACATATAAATTACCTAGTATTGTATATTTACATATACAAGTAGGGGTGTGTGCTCAGTATATAAGAAGCCAAATAAATACTCGAAAAAACCCTTAATGGTATTTTTTGGGTATTTATTCAGTCAAATCAGATTCTCTGATCTGGTTAAGAACATAACAGAAGCCAATGTTGGATCAGGCCAAAGGCCCATCCAGTCCAACACTCTGTCACACAGTGGCTAAAAATACCAGTTGCCATCAGGAGGTCCACCAGTGGGGCCAGGACACTAGAAACCCTCCCACTCTTGACCCCCCCCCCAAAGCACCAAGAATACAGAGCATCACTTGCCCCAGAGTCCCTATTCATACCTTGTGGCTAATAGCCACTGATGGACCTCTGCTCGATATATTTATCTAATTCCCTCATGAAGCCGTCCATGCTTGTAGCCACCGCCACCTCCTGTGGCAGTGAATTCCATGTGTTAATCACTCTTTGGGTGAAGAAGTACTTCCTTTTATCCGTTCTAACCTGACCACTCAGTAATTTCATTGAGGGCCCATGAGTTCTTGTATTGTGAGAAAGGGAGAAAAGTACCTCTTTCTCTACCTGCTCTACCCCATGCATAATCTTATAAACCTCGATCATCTCACCCCTCAGCTGTCGTTTCTCCAAGCTAAAGAACCCCAAGTGCTTTAACCCTTCTTCATAGGGAAAGTGTTCCAACCCTTTTATCATTCTAGTTGCCATTTTCTGCACTTTTTCCAATGCTATAACATCCTTTTTAAGGTGTGGTGACCAGAACTGTACATAATATTCCAAATGAGGTCGCACCATTGATTTATATAGGGGCATTATGATATTGGCTGATCTGTTTTCAATTCCCTTCCTAATAATCCCCAGCATAGCATTGGCCTTTTTTATTGGCTACCAATCTTGCTGAAACTGAATAAAAGCCAATATTATTCAGCCTCAGCTTCACTTGCTGAAGCAGCACAAGTTCACCCACCTTCTCAGTGAATTCGTGCCACTTCCAGGTTCCTCATGCACAGCTTGGCTTTGCAAAAGCCATTTAAAAGAAGAGTTCCCTTTAAATGGCTTTTGCAAAGCCAAGCCATGTGTGTCTCAGTTGTGTTGCCTCTGTGGTGCGACTCTGCGAGTCAAGCATAAAGTTTAAATGCTACTCACAGAGTCGCACTGCGGGGGTGGCATAACTCAGCAAATCACACATATGGCTCAACTTTGCAAAAGCCATCTAAAGGGAACTTTCCATTTAAATAGCTTTTACAAAGCCAAGCTGCACATGAGGAACCCAGAAGCGGCATGAGTTCACCCAACTTCCAGGTGAACTTGAGCCACTTCCATTATTCCCTATGGGGACCATTTTTGCACACCCTTATATACAAGAGAGTTGTCCCATTACAGTTAAAAGCAATTCAAAGGACCTAAACAATTTCAAAACTCCAGTTGTGTTCTTGAATAATGTCATATTTTGCTCTATGGTAGATATTCAGCATAAGAATTTAATATAATTTTCTCTTCCTGAACTTCAAACCAAGAATACTTGTAACAGGATTTCAGTTAAGAACAATTGTTCAGTTCAGTGAACTACATAGGGCTGCCAAGCCGCAGCGGGGGATCCGTGCGTCTTCACAGGATCCCTGCCGCGGGGGACAGCGATACGCATTGCACCGCCATCGCCAGGATGTGACGCTACACGTCGCTCTGGCAACGGGACTCCGAACAGCCCCGTTGCCAGAGCAACGCGTAGCGTCACATCCTGGCGACGGCGGTGCAACGCGTATCGCTGTCCCCCGCGGCAGGGATCCTGTGAAGACGCACAGATCCCCCGCTGCGGCTTGGCAGCCCTAGAACTACAGTTTAAGGAAAATCCTGCTAATGATTGTAGTAGGAAAGGCCAATCTGCATACTTAATTACTTTTTCTGCATAAAGTAATTGTAACCTCTTGCTGGACTGATTTGTAGAACACTTCTTGTGATGTCAGTTTAAGGCCATACGAGACTTAAAATGGGCCCTGGTTCAATCAGATTGTAACACAGATGTAAAACCTAGATTTGCATTACAAAACCTTGGCAGAATGATCGTTAGGGTATTACAAATGCTTCTTCTCCACTTTCTCTTTGGTGTGAGCAATAATAAGATGTTAACATAATCTGCCACAGCAAGAGAGGATTACAGAGATTTAAACCTCCCCCCCCCCACACACACACATTTCTACAGTTTGGTCTCTGTTGATTTATTGAGTCATTGAGTTTTCCAGGTGCTCAGCTAATTGCCAGAGAGCACAGTGCCTACAAATCCTGACTTAACCAACATGATTTAGTTTCCCTTCTTTTGACCTCATACATGGATTGGGAAAAATACTTCACTATCTATCTCAGTAATCCTTTGACATGTGGTCACCAGAAGAAACACATACATCTGCTTCACAGGATTTTTTCCCCATTTTATAATGCTATAAATTCTGGCTGAGATACAAAGAGCTACTTTAGGAGCACTTAAGTACTGACACACTCTCAGTTGGATTTTTTTTTTAAAAAAAACAACCCTCTTTGAACAATGACATCCATGCTACACTACAAACTGATTCTGAAGTGACCCTCATCTTCAAAAATAAATTGCTATTTGGCATAGAGGATTACAAGGTCTGACAAACATAAATCTAAAGTCCTACAGATACCTAGCCCTGACTGGACAGAACGGAGGAATATAAATAAATAAACAATTATGCTGATCTTTAGTTCTTAACAATATATGGCTCCAACCTCAAACTGCCTTTAATGGTCTGAATATGAAGGCATTTTTGTAACCTTTAAACATTTTAAGAAGCTTTTCATGCACTGTGAGAATTTTACACATTATGTTCTTTTTTGTGGCAAACCCCCTTCCACCAATATTTTGCTAGAAAGGGAAGAAGAATATTTAGAAAAACAAATTTAAAAGAAACTTTATATAATATACTGATAAAAATGAGTGCCATGTAATTTGGAATATAGTTATTCCTAATAGTTTAAAATAATAAAGCTAACTTTTCCATATTGTGGCTGAACTTGTTTCTGAACAACTATAATATTATTCTACTCAAAGCCGATATATCATGGTGGAAGGATTTAGTGGAAACTGTATTTACCCAGATAAATGTGACAGGAGTTATGCCACTCACTCGGAGACATGTTATCATAATATCAGTTCATAAGTAGGGAGACAAAGCGGACCCATCCGACTACAGGCCAATCAGCCTTTTATCTGTCCCTTTATTACCATCTCGCAGACTGGTTGGAGATGAATAAAATCCCGGGAAAGGAACAGGCCAGTTTTAGTTGAGGGGCTGGTACAGATGATCATATTCTGACATTATAGTTCTTAATAAATATGTACTTGCTTGTGCTTTCATGGATTTGAAGGCAGCTTTTGATACCATACCCCATGCCTGACTGTGGCACAAGCTAAAACCAACATCTACTGACAAGAAACTGTTGGCTTTGATTGAAATTCTGTATTCTAATCCCACTGCGCAAGTCTGCTATGGGTTAGATAGACACCTTTCCAATATAATTTCCCTACGGCAAGGAGTGCGTCAGGGATGTGTGCTGGCCCCTTTATTGGATCATTATTTTTTTGGGGGGGAAATCTCATGTACATCACAAGTGGAAAATACATGGTAATGATATTATGCAAACTTCTCTTTTGGCTGGCTGTTATTCGCATACTCCAAAAGAGCTATGCGTCTGCATTTGTGGCTTGCCAGAGGTGGAGAATTTTCCTCACTACATGCTTTACTGTCCGCTTTACAGCACTCCAAGAGAGAAATTTTTAGCAGGAATTCTATCGGTTATGCAAGCATACCCAGAAACTGAGAAGATTGTGTTCTTTCAGATAATGATGCTTATCTATCCTGGCCCCGGTCACACAAGAGGATTTGGGCCGGGAGAGGGACGGATCGGGGGCGGAGCAAACGGGCGTGATCCCACTGCAACATCTGGGAAGCGTTGCGCGCCCGTCCCCAATCTGGCCCTTCCAACGATAATCCGCACCAAAAAAGAACCACCTACCAAGGTGGTTCTTTTCGAAAGGCCACATCAAAGCTGACCGTGGGATCGCCGGCGCGTTCTTCCGCCGGCGCATCCCTGGCTCCTGGCCGAACTGCGCATGCTCAGACATGCGCAGTTCGGCAGCCTCCCGTGGCTTCCTCCCTGGTCTCCCCGGCATCTGATCGTGCCAGGGAGCAATTACACAGCGGCTCACGGGATCTGTATGATCCCGCCACTGCGTGCCTACTTTGGTGCGGCTTTTAAAAGCCGCACCTTGCCCGTCCTTTTTCCTCCTCGTGTGGCAGGGACCCCTATAGAGTTTCCTTGTTTGCTTTAGCAGCATCTAAGATTAGATCTAAGGGGCAGGCTACCTGATGGTGATTAAACCCATTTTATTTTCCTTTTATTACTGACTAGTAGTTAATTTTAACCCAGATATTAACGGTGCTTTTTAACTTTTATGATTGCTCTGTTGCATTCTGTATTTTGTAATGGCCAATGGCTCAGTACAATAAACCACTTTGGACAAGCTTTGGTAATGATATTGAGGAGGTCTTCTACTTTAAATACTCATGGGTTTGGTTTGACAAGAGATTAACTTGGTCAGTGTAAGATGCTCATATTAAAAGATTGGCTACAGTGGCATCAAATATTATCTGTTTCTTTTATTCATCTGAGACTCCGTATATCCCAGCTGCTTTCAAACTGTTTACTGTCAAGATGGTTGAACAAAGCTTATATGGGGCTGGTATCTGGATTGAAAAAATAGGGGAGTCCTTGGATTCAATTCTTCTTAAATTCCAGTGTTCCATCAGTGGAACTCTGAATTGTGTAGCAGAAGTAGCCCTCCAAGCTGAATTGGGACAACCATCTCTTGAAGCTCAGGCTTGGTTGAAGGCTTTTCCCCTTAAAGTTAAAATTATACACTTCAACATCCAAGAGGGCCACCTTGGCTTAGTTAGAGAGGACTCTTATGTTTCCCACTCAGATAAACTTGTTGAGCAATGACTACAGCTCCTCAATCTTTCCTTGGACTCCCTTTACGCAGTTACCAGACAGAAAGCCATAAGAACAGTTAGGAAACATCTATTTAAGTGCAATTATAACAGTACAGTCTGTAGAGCACAACATATCTGTTCTACTCAATTTGTTGGTATTCTTCCACCTGGAGGACTTCCTGATTACTGCTAATATTTGATTGTTCCTCACTATAGGTGTGCCTTTATGTTGGCACACCTTAATGCCCTAGCATCTAGACTTTTGCAGGGGAGTATGCGATTGTGGTGCAGATAGTGTAGACACCCTGTATTATGTGATTTTTGAATATAATTACTTTTCTGAGCCTAGAAATCTTTTCATTCTTCCTTTGCTCCAAAATATAGATCAAATGGAGACATTACCTCTTTTATTAGCAGATAATAGCAGACCTATCACTCTCATAGCTGTGAAATCTTATGCATCTGTGATAGATTTCTGCAGCTGTTCAAATGGGGTCTAGCTTTTCCTATATTTTAGTAATCTGCTTACAACTAATAAGAAGCAGTATGAGGTAGACTGCAGACTTATACTATTCATTCACAATATATAGAAGGGAAACAATGCTACTATTTTAATATAGTCTAGATCCCCTTGATCCCAAGAATACAATCTGTAGGGGTGGATCCAGTGATCCACATCCGTCAGCATCTTCCACTGATAGATCTTTCCCTTGTTCCCTCCTCCAGCAGTCCTTTTTGATCCCAGGAAAACTGGTCCCCAGGGTTTTAGGACCTCTGGACTAACAGCTAGGTGAGATGATGGTGGGGGGAGAAGGTGCATTAAGGAAGGGGAAAGGGCTGAAGTCTTCTCATCTGTCAGAACAGCTGTGGTGATGGAAGGAGGGGGCCATTTTGCACCTTTATTCCTCCCCAGAACAGTTCCCCAACCAGCATGCAAGTCCTGTGACCCCTGGAATCAACTTTCCCAGGGTTGAACAGGATTGCAGAGAAGCAGGAAACAAGGGAAAGATCCATGCTGGAACCGACCCTGTCTGTTGTGCTTGTGGTATCATATCAATTTTGTCTGAAAGGTAATGCTGATGAACAGCCTAATACAATCCTTAAACACAGTTGAAGCTAGCATATATAAATGGAAAATTGTAACTTATTTGCTTCTACCCTCTAGAAAAGAAAAGTAATCTGAGTACTGATGGGTGCTATTGGGGACATGTCCTTTTCAGGTAGCCCAGGCTAGCCTAATCTCATTAGATCTTGGAAGCTAAGCAAGGTAGGCCCTGGTCAGTAATTGGGTGGGAGACCACCAAGGAATGCCAGGGTTGCCACAGAGAGGCAGGCAATGGCAAACCACCTCTGAACATCTCTTGCCTTGAAAACCCCACCGGGGGTCACCATAAGTCAGCTGTGACTTTGCAGGCACTTTACACTGACACACTGCAGACACATTCAGTATTCAGGAGTGCACGTGATGCTCCTACACTATGCACACCTTGCTGTCCATGACTGGCACTTGATAGTAGGTGGAGCAGAACAGCTAGATTTGAGTCCAGCAGAATCTCAGAGACCAAGAAGATATTTGGGATATAGGCTTTTGAGAGTCAAAGCTCCCTTTGTGAGATGATCTGATGAGGGGAAGCTTTGACTCTTGAAAGGTTATCCCCTGAAAATCTTACTGGTCTTTCAGGTGCTCCTGCTCTACTGCAGACCAAATACTAGGAGGAAAAGAGTGAGCATTTAATCTGGAGAAGCAGCCAGCTGCTGTGCATAAGGATCTTCCAGTTAAGGTCTTCACTAAAAATGTATTAGTAATTTTATTTTGAAATTAATTGATCTTAGCTACTGACCTGGTAATACTGTCCTGTACATAAATGCAAAATGTTGTTTAAGCCAGGGGTGTTTAAAATGGTTAATGTCAAAGTGCCTTTGGACAAGGAAGATGTACTGGAAAAGAGATCTGGTGGTATAACTGCCGTAAGCTACTCCTTCATAGAGGGATCCATCTGTCACTTCTTGTAGCAGAACTATGGACTTCTCCATAATTGCCAGGACTTGCTTGGTCCACACATATGCTTCCTGAAGATAACCTGATAGCAGAACAAAAGGGATAACATTCACAAAACTATGCCTAATAGTTACATTTTATCTTTTAAAACAAGGGTGCTGATAGATATACAGTATGTGGTTAGGGCTATGGGAAATGCATAAACATCCAACCGGATATTGAACAAACAATTGTGAATCATAAGTTTCACTGAGAGAACTCCAGACAAAGTACAAAGATCCAATCCATCCTTCCACACGAACACACAGTAATCTCGTGTTCTGAGTGGCCCTGGTGAAGAGAAGGCCAGTTGAATCTACATTAGCATGATCATTAGGACTGTGCCTGTTTCCAAATGCTCATGCCCAGCAAAGGCTGGAAGGAGAGAGGGAGGAGGGATAAGGGCTCAGTTGTGCCCTATATTTCAGCAGTCAGAAGATCAGTTCATGGAACTGTATGTGGCTCCTTACCTTTCCCCATGGCTTTGCAGAATAAATAACTCAAAATAAAGTAACTGCAACAATGGGACCCTCTCTCTCAAAGACAACAGAGCACAATTCCATCTGATACATACATACTATCTTATGAGTCATGAAAGAAAAAAAAACTATTCAAAATTTTTAATTACTTTTTCTACATTTCTGAAAATAGAAAAACCCACAGTGTGGGCCATTGTATAACATGCCAAAGGTCTCTCTCATAAAGCAATTGTATCTAGCATACTACTCATGGTTCAGAGTGTATTATTGGTTCTATATTGGCCCCAGTTTTGTCTTGTTTCCTTGGCTGTGTGATTACTGGGAGGTCTGTTTTGTTTGGATTTGGCCATTGTATAACATGCCTCAAACACCCCTTTGGCTATTTTTAACATACCACAGCATTTAGCCTGAAGAAGAATCCTATAATGCTGGATATTTGGTAGCGTTTTGGTCAGTCCTAAGAAATTATCCTACAGATATTTTGATTTTTTGTGTGTCAACACAGCTGCGAACATTTTCTATATATAGGCCAATTCACTTTAAAGCTTTATATTTCTAGACTTTTTCCCATTAGAAAATCATAGATTATGCAAAAATTATCTCAAAGTCAATTTCTCATGGAAGTTCATAGCAGTGTGAAAAATGCTTGTAGTGTTTTGTACACAATACAGAAAATTAATTGGTTTGTTTTTTGTCAGTCTGTCAAGATAAAAAACAAATATATTATTTATCTTATTTATACTTATAGTATTACAGTGTAGTATTATAGTAAGAGGAAGATAATAAGATAATGTTTAAAAATAAATATCTTTATATTTATTATCTTATTATCTTCCTCTTATTGCAAGTCTTGCATTTGAGACGAAATTCAGGAAAATTATGCCCACCAGCATCTTTTGAAATTGACTTGGCCAGCTTCTGCTTCTCTTCAGAATTCAGGATACTAGAAAGAACAATGTATTGACGAATAAAAGCTGCCACATTATAGGCCACAAGAGGAGATCTTTGACAAAAATGAACCAGGGTCCTGTTCACATGGAGCATTTGCCACGTTAAAGATACGGATGATAGGCGGATTTTCTGGGCACGATCACACTGCAACATCTGGGAAGCGTAGTGCTCCCATGGCTAACCCGTGGCTTCCTGGCAAAGATGCGGAGTAAAAAACTAGTACATACGATGTACTGGTTTCTGGACAACACGGGGCAAGGGCGGGCATCTGATCGCGTTTCCCCTGGAATCCCGTAGCATCCAGCGCCCGCCCATGTCCCCTTGCAAGCCAGATTATTTTTTTTAAGTCCCCACAGGATGCGCACAAACGATCATGCACATGCGCAAACTTTGGTGAGACAAACAAAAAACCCCGTTTGCCACAGAAGCGGCGCGGCGCGATTGCCGGTGTAAACGCGCCGTGCTGCTTCTTTGCCATGCTGCAGACTAGCCGTCTGATTGACACCTAACACCTAACCACGGGACCTCGACAGGACGTCTGATCGGGCTGCCATGCGTTACTTTGTTCCGGGGCAAACAGCCACGCTTCCACCCCGCATTTTCCGGCCCGTGTGACCGGGGCCCAGGTAGAGCTGCTGCTTCTTTTCTGTAAACCTTTTTCTGAATGTGGTAGTGCTAAGAGCAGTATTTCCTGGCCATGAATATACCCACCTTAGGTCCTGGGATGCCTAGAGGAAAGATGATTATATAAACACTAAGTAAATAAATATTAAATAAAGCAGTAGACTGGAGTTGTATGTGACATCTGACAGCTTTCCTTCATCAATCGCCAGAAACAGCATCCCTATATAAAAATCGTTTTTCATCTTGTTTTTGTTTATCTGCTTGTCTGGGTTGCCTAAGCCGCTGCACAGAAAAGCTTTCTTTGGCTGCGGTCACACGGAACATTAGCCATGCGAGTCAGACGGAAGACATGCGGGTTTTCCGGGCGCGATCTCACCGGCACATCTGGGAAGTGTAGCACTCCCGTGGCTCAAACGAGGCTTCCTGCCGAAACCACGCGGCAAAAAACTAGTACCTCCGAGGTACTAGTTTCCGGAAACCGCGGGGCAAGGGCGGGCGTCTGATCGCGTTTCCGGTGGCATCCGGCGCCCGCCCATGTTCCCTGGCGAAAAAGTTTTTTTTGTCTTCAAGTCTTTGTGGATGCGCAAAAGCACACAACGGAGCATGCGCAGTCATGGTGTAAACAAAAAAAACCTTCCAGTTTGCCGCACCGCGCACTTCGTTTTTGCGCGCCGGGATTGTCCTGCCATCGGCACCTCTCCTTTCCCACGGAACCTCCACAGTACCTCCACGGGAGGTCTGATCAGGTAACCGCGCCTTAGTTTGCCCCGGGGCAAACTGCCACACTCCCCCCCCGCCGTTTCCTGCCCGTGTGACCGGGACCTTTGTTTAGAAAAAATGGCTGAATTATTCATGTCCCTTAGCTTCTTTTAGGCTGCGATCATACATACAAAGACTCGACATAGGTGCGAATGTCGGGCAGATTTAAAGGGCGCAATCAGACAACAACAACTGGAAGCACCCCGCAGCCATCGGCAACCCGTTTAGCTCCACCGCAGAAGCAAAGTTAAAAGACACCGGGGAAAACCCGGTAGTAAACGGGTTGTGACGGGCCACGGACAGACTTTCCCATGTCCGATCACTCCAGTGCGCTCACATGGTGCCGGGATGGTCTGATCAGGCCATCCCGACTCCGTGTCATTGTTCCCCCCCTTCGCAGTATGCGCATCATCGCAAACTCCACAGGGAGCCCTCAGTGCGGAAGTGCGATTCATTGATCCCTCGTTTAAGTGCATGGGAAACACATGACACAAAAAACCCCGACTCACCCGCAGTCGCATCTGATCACACACTGACGGTCTGCGCCCGCAGTTTCAAAGGGAGGTGTGATCATGCAACTGTGGGTTAAATTCCTCCGGAGGAAATAGCCTCGCTTCCCCCCCCATTTTATCTGGTGTGTGTGAACCGCACCCATAGTTTCCTTTGTTCTCCCTCCTTATGGTTCTGGCCGCCTGGTATATTTGTAGACAGACAGGGCACTATGGCTTACATATGCTGTAGTAATAGTAGTAATCACATGTATTTGGGGCCTATAAAACCTAGTTGGCAATGAGCAAATAGAAACAAATTATGGCAATTTAAAAATACCATAGTAGGGAAAAATTGCACACAAAAAGACATTTTTAGACAGATGTAAAAGTAGGCTAATAGCAGATGCCTTGGAGTCAAAATGGGGGCATTGGAGTGCTGGATTCCAAGACAATATACTAGCCCCCCTCCTGTAACATAGAAGATATACTATTGTCCCTTAACTAGGGTTGCCAGGTCTCACTTCTGTGCTGGTGAGAGGATCTTGGCCTTCCCCTGGAAGTGACGTCATTGCACTGCGCATTCTACAGGATGTGACATTTTAGCCGAATGCCAGAGTGTCCCCTGCTTAACATGCTTGGTGTGATGATGTCACCTCCGGGTGATGTCATTGCACCAGGGACGTCAGGGGTGGCGAGGCTTTTCTGGGTTGGGGCTCCCCCTGCCTGCCAGCTGGCTGGCAGTGGATTTGGGGCCCTGAAATTGGGGGGTTGGCAGCCCTACCCCTAACCCAAACCCTGAAACTTATCTTCATATGGAGAAAGCAGGGAGGCAGGCAAAAAGAGGAAATGATGGAAGATTTCAACCGCTTTCAGCTAGAATGAGTGAACAAGAGAGAAAGTAAACCATGCTTATATTATGAGTGGCACCCAAGCTCTGGTGTGAAATGTGTGTGCTGAATTTGCCGGCAGCAGGAGTGACTGTGCTGTCCTTTCTTTAATGGTTGTCGACTCATTTGCCCTAAGGACCATGCTGTCAAATGCAACATACTATCCAGAATGTCTGATCATATTTAAATGGGGGGGGGGACTTTTCGAAAATGACAAATACTTGGTGGTTATTTAAAACCACTTTAAGAGAAAGTCAAGACAAAATGTATGACACACCATGAAAAACTAAAAAGTCCATGAAAATATCAGCATAATTAAGCTAACTCAAGAAAGCTATAAAATGCAAGAAGGGTTTGTATAAAAAGTGAAAGTCTTGTTTATATAGAAAATACCAAGAAGTGCAAGCCTGGAAAAATGAAGATAAATTGACAGGGAGGCAAATAATGTGAGAGAAAACCAGATAACATTAAAACAAACAATGAAAATATTTATATATATCTGAAGCAGGAACTCAACCAGGGAGGCAGTTAAATGAGGAGTCTAAAGACAGCTAAAAGGTGGAGATTTTGCAAAGTAGCTAATTTCTGTCAGCCTGCACCTGTTGGAACATGCCTAAATTGCTTTAAAAAAAAAAAAAGACTGAAGAGCTAAACCAAATAGATGTGAAAAGAAATTAAGTTCTAGGACCAAGTGATAAATTTTAAATTAATAAGTCACCATGTCTGGATGGCCCAGGCTAGCCTGACTTTGTCAGATCTTGGAAGCTATGCAGAATCAGACCTGGTTAGTATTTGGATGGGAGACCGCCAAGGAATTCCAGGGTCCCTATGCAGAGGAAGGCATTGGCAAACCACCCCTGTATGTATCTTGCCTTGAAAACCCTATGGGGCTGCTATGACTTCACAGCACTTCATACACACACATCTGGATGGCATAAACTCAGAATTTTAAGAGCTCAAATGTGAAATTGCTGATATTCTAATAAAAGCATGTGATGTTACTAAATCCATTTCCTTACCAGCCGATTGGAAGGTAGATAACATAATGAAAGTAATGGTCAGTATTACAATGCTTTTCTAGAAGTGTACAGTGTGGCCGGTTTTGAAATAATACATACAATACTTGGTTGCTGTATTTTCAAGAGAACTATAAAAGAATAACTACAATGATAAAAGGACTGGACCCCTTCCCTGTGAGGAAAGGCTGAAGTATTGAAGGCTTTTTAATTTAGAATATGACAGTTAATGACAGAAGTAGCTACAATTATACGGCGGAGAAAGTGGACAGAGACTACTGTTTTTCTCTCTCTCATAGCACTAGAATGAAATTTGTTGGCAGAGGATTGAGGGCAAACAAAAGCAGTTTAATACAATGCATAATGACTGGATACTATGAAATTTGGTGCTACGGGGTTTAGATGGTTTTATCAACCAAGTCACTGGTGGGGTGGATATTAGTGATTTTAACTAAATGCAATAAGGTGCAGAGGCCTCAAGAGTACCAACTGCTGGAGAACAGAGAAAGGCTGTTGTTTCATGCCCTGCTTGTTGGCTTCCCAGAAGCCTCCAGCTGGCTGCTACTGAAAGCAGTATGCTGGACCGCATGCACCATTGATCTGCTCTACTTACATTCTTTGGTTAATAGTCTGAAGATTAAGTAACATTCCATAAAGATGAAAATAAACCTAACAGCTGGCTGATTCAGTAACATTTCTCATTCTAATAAACAAAATCAATATGATTGGAACAGAGCTGTATTCTACTTCATGCAGGCCCCAACACACTATTCCATCTGGTTGCATTAAATGTGCATTAACATGTATCAAACAACTGTATTGATTACTGAGATATTATTTATAATGGGCAAACATGAGTGATTTAACTGTGGAAAGGCAAGGAACCTTCTTATCAGTCAGCACATACCTTGATTCATCAAAATCAGGCTTCCTGCCAACAGGGCCACGCAGTTGGTAGGCTGATGATTGTGTAGGTATTGAAAACCCCATCCACGCCTATATGATGCTTCATACATGTATCCTGAGGCATTGGCAATCACCTCAAGAAATCTCTCCTGCTGAGACTTGCTAAGGTAGTTGTACAAAAAATCATAGGCAGTGGCAAATCCAACCAAAGAGTGAGCAAGAGGGACCTCATCCCACGGGGCATCCTTTACTAACCTGTGAAAGACAAAGATATATTGTCAGCTTTTAATTTTATCTACATGTATTTTTTTTTAAAGAAGAAGAAACAAACTTGGATGATTTTATAACAGAAACAGATATTGATACACGGGCAATACACCATAGCTGCCAGTTACTTTCCAAAAGTAACTTCTCAGTATGATCAATAAATGGCTTTGAAAATCAGGAAACACCAGAGTTGACCTTGGTGGAAGTGATGTAAATCAGGAAAGAAAAAAAATGCAGATGCTCTGCTTTGATCGTTAAAGTTTATATGTAAAGGGGATCTCTGGATTGCAGCCTGTAATTCAGTTGCCTTGGAAGTATCACCTGTGTTGTGAAACACATATGAAGCTCTTGTGACTGCAGCCTGCCCCATTAATACAGCATATCTCTTGAAATAAAGGGGCAGCCGTTGTAGCAGAAGAACTCTGTGTGTATTTATTGGTCTCTGCTGCCCAGAAGAAAAAGAATCTCCATATCCCCTTTGACATGGCGATTATATAAATTTCACTGTCTATGTAGATAATAACACCTAGGTAAATGGGGTGTGCATATCAATGATAAAAAGTGTAGTAAAAATATTTGTGTGTTTTGTTAAAGTCGTGCTGGATTTTATCTCCATGTGTTCTAAAGTGTTTAGGCACTTAATACCTGGAATCTAAGGTGATAAGCTGTCTACTTAACAGTTTTATAGCTACAAAAAAAACTGGATATGATCCAGCAAAAATCAAGCATAATTAGTTTCAGTGGGAATGACATAAGCATGTGCTTAGCTGCACCTTCACCTATGGAAAGCAATGAGACGTAAGAGTAGTTACATTTTGCTGCATCGTGCTCAATGCACAGGAATAAGCACATGTGCAATGCCCAGTGCGAAAATGTCTTGGTGTGCCTATGCCACTATGCCAGGTTTCACATTGTACTTTGCCAATGACAGTATACCAGTGCATATAAATTACTTAATAAAGATGGAAACAGATATACACATGGCATGGGGAGGGGCAGCAAATCATAGAACAAAAGCTTTCCACAAATGATCGACTATTCCTCAGTTCATTTGTACACTGGGTCCACAATTTGTGTTACTTAACGGATGCATAAAACGTAGGAAGAATAATAATCTTTCAGTTCTATTCACATTTCAGATCAGCTGAATAACATACGGGGACTGTAAAAAATGCAAATAGTTTACATTTATGTAAAGCCTTTTAGGCGCTGGTTCTTTACAAATACCAGAGTCACAAAACAGGCCAACCTGCCAGTGACTATAATGAACTGCATGGGTTCATGTATTAAGACTGCGGAGTCACTTACTTGCCTGCAGAACACGGTACTGGATCACTAGTGTCAAGCTCAAAAGAACTGCAGTGAGCACAGCAAAACATTACCTCTACCAACGAAGGGGTTTTTGGAGGGTTTTGGGGGTTTTTTGCTTTGCTTTCTTTCTGTTATAAAAACGCACAGTACATCCATCCTTGGGTTAAACCTCTAAAAAAAATCAAATGGTAACTGGATCGGGTGTTTAATTGCAAGGAAAAAAAAATATTTATTTAAAACTCTTTCACCATGTCTTCCTATGCACTCAAAATATGCTATATCCATTTTAAGTTTATTTTACAGAAGGCAACATAATAAAAGTCAGCTCATGTTAGTATATCCTAGCTATACACAGAGATGCCCCACATTTTGTATGAATGACTGGCCACAGCCATCCTGTGTTTATTAAGAAGCAAATATTTCAGACCTCACTGTGTCCTCCCTAATAATTCCTGCATTTAGTGAGGCATTAGTTGCTTATTTTCTGTTCTTTCATTTTTCCAAAACTGTGAATCCACACAGGCACAGCATGTGAAGAGGGAACTGATGACCAGCACAGGAAAAAAATCACTTTTTTGTTCAACCCATCGGCAACAGAGATACCTGTGAGATTAGTCCCTTTGTAAGGTGGGAAAGGAGCTATGGCCTGAGCATACTTACACAAACTAGACACTTCTTCAGAATGTTAGTAGTAACAATATTTAATAAAAACGCCGGTAGACATGTATAATAGGAATATTTAAATAGACTGTTGTTCTGTCACACACTAAACAGCTGAATGGATGCACACCCATTTCCCAAGTTATCCATACACCTAAACCTGGAGGAGATAGACAGATAAGCAACAGGGGTGGGGGAGAGAGATATCTTTGTCGTTAGCGCAATTTGCACTTACCAAAAATGAATTCGCAAGACAGTCTCCTTCAGTCAAACAGCTTTATTTGAATACAGCTTGCAAGCGGCAGGTGTCCCTCACCGCCCAATAGGCACTGAGAGAACACGCCTGAATGAGGTCTGGGAGCTGATATTTATCCTGTCGCGGCGTGGTAAAAAAAATAAGAAACACCCTCTCCACCTCCCAGAACTGAGAGTCAGGAGTTACAACTTCCAATCACGATCGCCTAATCACTTCTGTTTTTTATTAGACAAGCCCACTACTTTCCCAAAAAGGGCATAATTCCTTTATGCCAAACATGGTATTAACCTTCTTTATTCTTTCCTAACCTTTTCTTCATAACCCACAACAGCCCACCGCAAATATCTTGAGACACAGATATTCTCGTAAAGGGATGGTCTTCTTGTAAAGAATGGACTTGTCTTCTCGTAAATCTGGACTTTCAGACCGCAAGATGTCCCATTTCATCAGGCCTGTCTTGGGCCATCATCTCTGCAACAGACTTGTTTATCAGAGTCAAATGTCAAGTTCCTCATTTCTTTTTGGCTGGTTAGCATATACACTAAGAATATAAAAATATGCAAGATTAAACATTGCAAAGCTTCTGCCTATCTTTATGTTTCAACTGCCCAACTGTTAATCATTCCACTGGATAGCCAGGTATCTTAGGTGCTTTTCTTGTCACCCAGATTGCTGATTGTAGCCAGGTTCTTCGAGACTGCTACATTGACAGAGGTCCATCAGTAGCTATTAGCCACAAGATATATATATATGGGCTCTGGGGCAAGTGATGCTCCATGTCTTCCTATGCACTCAAAATATGCTATATCCATTTTAAGTTTATTTTACAGAAGGCAACATAATAAAAGTCAGCTCATGTTAGTATATCCTAGCTATACACAGAGATGCCCCACATTTTGTATGAATGACTGGCCACAGCCATCCTGTGTTTATTAAGAAGCAAATATTTCAGACCTCACTGTGTCCTCCCTAATAATTCCTGCATTTAGTGAGGCATTAGTTGCTTATTTTCTGTTCTTTCATTTTTCCAAAACTGTGAATCCACACAGGCACAGCATGTGAAGAGGGAACTGATGACCAGCACAGGAAAAAAATCACTTTTTTGTTCAACCCATCGGCAACAGAGATACCTGTGAGATTAGTCCCTTTGTAAGGTGGGAAAGGAGCTATGGCCTGAGCATACTTACACAAACTAGACACTTCTTCAGAATGTTAGTAGTAACAATATTTAATAAAAACGCCGGTAGACATGTATAATAGGAATATTTAAATAGACTGTTGTTCTGTCACACACTAAACAGCTGAATGGATGCACACCCATTTCCCAAGTTATCCATACACCTAAACCTGGAGGAGATAGACAGATAAGCAACAGGGGTGGGGGAGAGAGATATCTTTATGAATACAGAGCAGCACGAATACAGAGCCATGTCAAAGCTCTGAGAAGTATTCTACTGCAGGCCACAGCCAGGGAAAGACAACACACCATGTTTTCAGATGGCTACTTCATGCATTATCGTAAAAGCTAATGTATGCAAAAGATTTTTGTATATCCACTTTTATCCTATAAATATATGAGGCAGCCACAAATTTGCTAAACAAATTTTGACGAGGAGAAACTGCAATGAAGCTTCCCTGCATCATCCAGACCAAAACAGAAAGGGACTCGCAATTTCCTATCAACATCATTCCCCTATTTAAAATCAAGTCTTCATTTGCTGTTTGTTTCAGCACTAGCAGCTTGAATCTTCTTCTCCCAGGCCTACAGCCTGTTCCACATCAAACCCACAAAAGAACAATCAAAACATTACTGCTAGTTTCTAACAGGTATAGCTCTGAAGTAATTTTTTAAAATATATAATTTCCCCAGGAACATTTTCATCTAACAATATTAAGCATTTCCAGATAAATTTTCTCCTCCCCACTATTTCCTCTTTTCCTTCTCTGAAAGCCTTGATAGGTTGTCCCCTTTCCTGTTTGCTTCCCAGCCATCAACCCACCTACCTTTATCTGCCCCATCTTCAGTTTTACCTCCTTCCCACTGGTAGCCTGGGAAAATTCTGGGTGGTTCTTGCTGGGCTAGACTCAGTTGCATGGTACCCAGTTGTGGTGTGCCAGCCATTGGGCCAGGCCCAGTTCCACAATGGGAAATCTCCAAGGACTTGTGTGTGTGTGGGGACTCACTTTCCCCTGTACCCCTCTTCCCAAGCTATTTTCTCTTTTCCTCCTCCTGACAGCTCCTATATCTTCACATTTCCCTGTTTCCTTCCTTCTTTCCTTCCCACCCACCTACCAATCTACCTTTTATCTGCCTCCATTTTCTGCTATATTTATTTACTTCATTTCGCCCCAATCGGGACCCAAAGCAGCTTACATCATTCTCCTCTCCTCCACTTTATCCTCTCAACAATCCTGTGAGGCTGGTTAGGCTGAGAACACATGACTTGCACAAGGTCACCCTGTGAGCTTTTACAGCAGAGGGGGGATTTGAATGTGGGTCTCCCATATTCTCTGAAAACCACACCGGCTTTTGTGCAGTGGCTGTTGTTGAATAGTACCAAGAAGCCAATCTTGGGTAAGTCACACAAGTTGGGTAGGAGCAAGTCGCCTGGGGGTTGCTGCTGGCCCCAGTCCCAGTGAATCCTCCCTTAAAGGTCACAACGGCCTTAGAATGGTCCCTTACCCCCTCCCCTGCCTAAGCCACTCTGAGACTCCTTTGGGTGAAGGGCAGGGTATAAAACCAACTCCTTTCCTTGCCAGA